TAAAATCCGAAAAATTAGTTTCATTTAATGTAGTGTTTGCCTAAATATAAGAAGTTATTACTTTCTTAAATATTTTAGTATACCGCATACGTTATAATGGTGATAGTATGTAAATTTAAAAATAAATGTAATGAACATCAATTATGTAAACCCATTACATTACGCTTCTCTATTGAGCCAAATAATCTTTATACATTATTGTTTCAATATAAACAGAAACCTATGGTAAATATGGGTGTACATATTGTAGTAAAATATTGTAATTGCCATCAATACATAACCAGTTTGTAAAAAAAAAGTATATAAGAGTTCTAATATCTTTTGTCTTGATATCTACACAATTTATAGTATTCCATTTGAAATACGACGAAATAATAATTCAATACGATATTCTAAAGAATATTGAAATCGATATTAAAAGGAATTCAAAGGAGATCAGAACCGATAGAAAACTGCGAAACAATATTACAGCTGGCTCATCCGCTGGTAAGAACGTTTCCGAGTGAGCACCTAATGTGCTCTGCAGGGTATATCCACCTTCAATTTCTTCCCAGATTATTTAATGTAAAATGAAACTTACTTGCTTATCATCCCCTTAGGAAAACAGTATTGATCAGCACAGAAAATTATGCTAACATATTGAGTTATTTTCCGAAATTCATCTTGCCAACTTATTATTAAAATATTTATTTATATAGCGTATAATATACCAATATGCCTTATAAAAAGTCAATAAAGAAAAAAAATACAAATTAATCATAAAACTTTCTATATTTATAACGGGCTTAATAGCGTTTAATTTACTCATATTAACTTATATTTAATTACAGACGTTTCGGGTGCTTTACAGCACCCATGGCCACGGGGAGGACTGAGATGTTTGACGTCCCAATGTCGTAGTTAGCCCGGCTACCTTCAGTTTTTGAATATTAATTTTTGGTCCGATCTACACAGAACGAGCTTACAGTATCTATTAAGTCTTGCAGTGGTATGCTTGGGTTTAATTTTGTTAATTATAGGATCCAAGCACATGGACAGAACTGACAGATGGCAGAACGCATGTAACACGGGTTCGATCCCCGCCGGCACCAATGAAATTTTTAATAACAATTTTAAGTGCTGATTTATCACGTGCTCGGTGGTGAAGGAAAACATCGTGAGGAAACCTGCATGTCTTAGGAATAAAAAAAAATATTTTTGAAGACATGTGAAGTTCGCCAACCCGCATTGGGGCAGCGCGGTGGACACTTCCTTGCCCTAAAACCCCCTTTCAGAAGTGAAGGGAGGCCTGTGCTCAGCAGTGGGACGTATATAGGCTGTAACTTAACTTAACTTTTACTTTAAGCTGATGGTAGCACCCATTCACCTTCTCTATTGAAATTAGGATTTTTTTTTAATTTCGATAGCCCCGCTTATGATCCTTGGTATGAATCGATATTCTTTTGCGAGGTCTTGTGGTTTATCAAATCTGATGTAATGGTGGGGACGATCTTAAATATGTTCACAGACTGTAGACGTCCCGGAGCGTATGTGCTTTACGTCAGCTATATTTTCTATCACGAGGGCTTTTATAGACATTTTTGTTTGACCTATGTAACAGAGACCACATTCACAATCTAGCTTGTACACTCCTGCATCTTGTAGAGGAATATAATATTTGATAGATGGTAAAAAATTGACTAATCTTCTTCGGCGGCTTGTAGCATGTTTTAATGGAAGCTCGCTTCAAGATATGGTCAACCTTGACTGTGACTCCCCTGACATACGGTAATACAGCAGGCACACGTGGACTGTGGCCGGCTTCACTTGGTCACTGATACGTAGGCGCGGGATCCGAAGTTTGTGGTCTTTCAATACTTGATTGACGTGCTGAAGCTCGGCGGTTAGTTCTTTTCTGACACAGATTCCTTGTGCTCTCCAAAACAAAGATTTAGCCACGGTAGCTAACTGTGAAGGATGACGGTGAGATTCACCATTTAAATATCGGTTGATATGGGTCATTTTCCTATACACAGTGTGACCAATAGTGTTATCAGGATTTCGGATGACTAAAACATCTAGACAAGCTAAAGAATTATTGGCCACTAACTCCATTATGAATTGTATTTTAAAGTTTATAAAGTAAAGGTGGTCAAAAAATGAAGTTATATTGTCAAATGGTAAAACTGAGAAAGTGTAGTCTACGTACCGCTTATAGAATTTTGGATTTACAGGAGCAGTAAGAAGGGCTTTATACTCAAAGTCCTCCATGAATATATAGGCGACTATGGGAGATACAGGGTAGAACTCTTTGTTTCCACAATAGATAGCCAGATGTGAGGCGGTGTTTTAGTTATACTGCATATTATGAATGTTGTTATAGCTTCCGAGTTACAATTGAAAGGCAGTCTTCAATAGGTAGGCATATTAATAGTGACTGAACATCAAAACTGACCACAGTTTCATTGTGATTGATATATAGGTCTATTATTTCACTAATAAAATGGTATAAATCTTTTGTGTGTGCTCTGGTATCTCCTATTAGTGGTGACAGTATTTTTGTCTAGTGTTGTGCCAGCCTATAAAGTAGGTGAATCAATCTGGCTCACTATGGGACGTAGCGGAACGTTTGGTTTGTGTATCTTCGGTAACCCATACAACCTTGGTGGTTTGGTACATGATGGTATTAGCGAGTTTACGTCGAAATTTTTTTTTAATATTGCTTTATTCAATCGCTAGTAGTTTTAAGCGTGTTAGTTGTGGGGTCTGTTTTAATCTTTTTATATGTACTTTTCTCCGATAAAATTTGTTGTATTTTAAAAATATACTCTGACGTATCCATTACCACCGTAGCATTTCCTTTATCTGCACGGAGAATGATGAGCTCTGGTAATTCAGCGTTGTATATTCGTCTTTAGGTAGGTTTAGTTTCGGCACTGAACTACGACGTAACAAGGACGAAATATCTTGAACTGAATCCTCAACACTGCAGATAATTTCTTCGTACGGGATTTTTCACGGTGTTAATGCGAAGTTCATTCCCTACAATAATACTATTATGTAAGTAAATTAAGGGCGTTAATATAAGTAAATTAAACACGATAAAATCCGTTATACAGTGTAACCTTGATATAACGAGCCTCAATATAACGAATTCCTCGATTTAATGAATTTTTCGAAATCCCCTAGATCCCGTATTTTATTAGCTATATACATTAGCTATAATGCAAAATATACGTACATTTATCAAAAACGTCTTTATAACGAATTTTAAATCATTGCAGAATATAGATAGAAGGTGTTATTTACCTCTATTTAACGAATTTTTCAACTTAGAACCCTAAAATAACATATCCTGCTAATTATTCCCACCTAATTCCACAATAAATTATGTCTTGACAGGTTTAGATACGTTAAATTCCCAGTAAGACAGTTGTTTATTGTTTATTGATTTATATTTTGACAGAAATAAAAAATACTGTATTTTCATACCAGAGTAGTCATTTATTTGCGGAAATCGTTCGATCGTTCGCTAAAGCGATTTCATTTATCATGTCATTCTATCATATATCTCAATCTGAGTATTTACGTAATGTTGAGGTTAATAAACAAGTTAACCTCTGTAAGTCTGCAGTCTGTGAACATGTTCAAGATCATCCCCACCATTACATCAGGTTTGATAAACCACAGATCCTCGCAAAAGAACACCGATTCCTAACAAGGATGATACGCGAGTCTATTGCAATTAAAAAAAACATCCTAATTTCAATACAGAAGATGGATGGGTGCTGCCATCTGCTTAGGATCCGATAATTAACAAAATTAAACCCAAACCTAAGCATACCACTGCAAGACTTCAAGGTACTGTAAGCTCGTTTTGCGTAGATCGGATCGAAAAATTAATATTAAAAAAATGAAGGTAGCCGGGCTAACAATGGCATTGGGACGTCAAACATCTCAGTCCCCCCGGTAAAAGTAGTTAATTAAACGCGATAGAATCCGTAAATTAAGTTTTATTCAATGTGCAGTGTTCGCGTAAATTTAAGAAATCATTAAGTTAACCTCTCTATAACAAACCTTATTATAACGAATTACTTAGTATAACGAATATTTTCTAATTCCCTTCAGTTTCATTATATCAAGGTAGCACTGTATATGGTTTTATTAAATGTGTAGTGTTCGTTTAAATTTAATTAACCATTATAAAACTTCGTTTCAAAATTTTATTTAACCTATAACATGCCTCTTTCCAAAACTACATTGTGGTAAAATAACTATACCAAAGGCTTCTCCTTCGCAATTTTAATACCCTATTTCTTTCTTAATTTATTTAGGACAAAAATTCAGCAATAGCAACAATTTGGTATATTACGTTATAGGTTTGGTCTTTATCCAAAAATGAACTAGAATTTTAACACACCAACGAGATAGAAATAACGACGTACTGCGCACATGGGAAAAATACCATCAAAGTTTTATGCCGATCATTAATCCCTTCGTATGACATAAATAGATCTGCTACTGACAGTTGAAGTACTTCTATAAACCTTGGAATAACCTTCAATTCCGACTAACTCGTGTCATAAAAATCGTTAGCGGATCTAGGTACCTACTAAAATTTTGTGCCACGGGGTAGATTTTGGGTAATAAAATACTAGCTGACATAGTAGACGTTAATCTGATGTTTCCTTTGGATGACCTGATTTGGTAACAGATGCACCAACGAATATTTGAATGAAAAAATCAACTGACCAAAGCGTATTAGTTAGTAGTGCTAAAAATCTAAAACTGTAATTGCATGCAGCACCAAGCAAACCGTAAAGATAACCGCTAACATAAGTCTTGAGAGCCTTCTCTCACTTCTGAGTTTTAAAGAAAGAAGAAGTGTGCAACTTTGCCTAAATGCGTATTTTCGTACTATACAAAATGTGCGCCAAATATTTTTATATTCGTGAGATATGCGAGTTTCTTCATAATATTGCATTTATCCGCAAGTGTTTGATTCAGATGTTTAATTACAGGCGTACAATCCGTTCGCATCGTCAACATCCGAGTACCCGAAGTCATTCAATATGGTACCAGAGACGCAGTAACGCTGGACTGTGATTACGTAACAACAAACGTAACGGGATTAGTAGTCAAATGGTTTTATATGGAACGATCACAGCCCGTGTATCAATGGATACCTCCACAGAAACCTCAAGCTTTGGGATTATTAAAAAATAAAGTATGTTTTTTATTGATGTCTAAGTTCTGGCAAATCGTTAACACTTGCGATATTTTCTGAAAAGATGGAAATTTTTCAAGGTTCAGGTGCAGAGTTAAGAGCTCTACATTTTTCTGCCTAGGAGTCTATCTGGTTACAACGCATTTACGTACCCCTACCGTCACTTTTTGTTGTGTTTCGTTCAGTGTAATGTGTTTGGCCTCATATATTCCTCCTTTCTCAGATTGTAAGTGGTGTAAAAGGGGAAACGGCAGGATATGGACAGCAGCATTTTCCTTATAGACTCAATAATAATAAATTATAGCTGCGGCTCCCAAGCATCCTATCGAATGTGGCTACTATTACAAATATACATATGAGGCGAACCGCGGGGAAAAAGCTTTGTTCAGGAGTGGTGAACGCAAAAAATCACAAATGAACAAAAATGGGCTGCAATGAATAAATTAATTAATATATATTTTTAGTGTGTACTGATTAAGTTGTAAACCAACGTGAAATGATTTTGGGGATAAATGGTAAGATGGATATTTCGATAGCCCACCATTCGCGGGATATTTTACAATTTGAAAAAAATCCTCGTAAAAATATATTATGACAAAACTGACATTATGTTTTGTGCATTTTCTCGGCTCAAAAGGGCAATTCCTAAGTGCTTGGTTGTTGCGCCGCGGGTTTGAATCCCGCACAGAACAAGCATAATTATGGTCTAATAACAATTACTCCAGGTCTGGATGTCTGTCAGTTTTAATTTTTAGTAAAACTATTCCACAACATAATAGAGACTACTGCAAAAAGAGTAACGATTTTCTTATTATGTACTTGTTTCTTCATAATTATAAAATGCTAAAATTTTAGTTTTTTCTTATTCCAGTTGGATTTATCATATAAAGTATCACACAACCCTTATACTCAACACAGGGCTTTGCGGATATTACAACCTGGGACAGAACTTACTGGAAATTACACGTGTGTTGTATCAACATTTCTAGCCGAGGATGAAAAAACACGCCCTATGACAATTTTCGGTAAATACAGTTTTTATTTATGTAAGCCGCAACTATATTAGAGTTGTAACATTAATAAGGCAACTTGACTGAAGGAAAAATCACGCTCTCAGAAAATTAGGGTGTAGGTAGGAGCAATTTAATTAGCTGCTGTGTTACGTATGTTGTGACCCTTTTTCCCTGGTACCAGGTATTTTAGTCCTCAGGGGTAATAACGCCTCCGTTTTCACTTTTAATCGAAGATAAATGTAGGTATCTATGTGCTACAGAATCTTTTTACTATCAGGTTGACTATAGATATAAGAGTACAGTAATATTTAGAAAGGAACCCTCAGGAAAACAGAGTACATAACATTTCTCATAAACAAAGATAAGAGTGTTCAAAAAAATATTTTTTAAATGATTTATGCAAGAATTATACAGCTAACATAAAAAAAATTTAGAACAATTCTCGTTTCTAAATTACGCCTTTTTTTAATTAAGAGAATTTATTTCACATGACGAGTTTCGCCTTTTGCCTACGCGTCGCGTTAACTTCATACTTCAGTATTATTCATTCACCGCGTAAGTGCAAGGGGCAACAATTAATTTAAAAAAATTAACTGAGTAGATGAGAATGTTTGTTGTTAGTTATTATCTGAAAGATTAGTAATTACACTGTTTTTTTTTATTTCCTTATAGTAGGGTATTTTACACCATGTAAAATAAAATCAAAAAATATATATTTATGATAGATTTTGTAAAAAGTAAACCCAAAATATTGATTTCTGTTTATAAAATTGAATTATAAATTTTATATTTTAATTTTAAGATTTTTTTCGTCTGTTCCTTAAATCTGTAAAACGGTGTCCGCCATATTAGTCATGTCGTGCCGTCATCTATTCATTCTAAGGATATTAGTATTCTGTATCACTGATTTAAGGCTTCAGTACCATAGACCACATACATACCCTGCGGCAGATTGTACAGAAGACCGAAGAGTACAATCTGCCACTTTGCCTGGCGTATGTAGACGAAATCGACGGTGTCGAAATTTGGGCGGTGCTACAGTTCCTTCAGCGGTGCAAAGTTGACTGTCGGTATATCGAAGTGCTGAAGCGTTTGTACAGCAGGGCTACGATGGCTATCCGATTACAGAACCAGAGTTCGAAACCTATCCAACTGCAGAGAGGTGTAAGACAGGGTGACGTTATATCCGCGAAACTCTTCACCGCTGTATTGGAAGACGTTTTCAAGCTACTGGACTGAAAAGGATGAAAAGGTATTAACATCAATGGCGAGTACATCACTCATCTTCGCTGGAGGAGTTAAGCACTATGCTCAATGACCTGAAAGGTGTCTCCCAACGGATAGGTCCTAAGATGAACATGGACAACACAAAGATCATGTTTAATGTCCATGTCACACATATGCCGGTAGTCATAAGGGGCACTAAGCTCAAAGTTGTTGACAAGTACGTTTACCTGGGACAATTAATCCGTCTAGGTAAGCCCAACTTCGACCGAGAGGTCAATCGACGCATTCAACTCGGCTGGGCAGCGCTCGCGAAATTATGACGCATCTTCTCGTCAGGTATACCTCAAAACATGAAAACTAAGTTGTACAACCAGTGCGTGTTGCCAGTGATGACCTACGGAACCGAGACGTGGTCGTTTTGAAATAATACTAATTTTTACGGAATTTATCGCGTGTATTTAACTTTTTAATTACCCGACGTTTCGAACGCTTTACAGCACTCATGGTCACGGGCAGGACTGAGATGTTAAACGTCCATATGTCATAGTTAACCGTGGTTACCATAGATTATAATTTAACTTTTGTTCCGATCTATGCAGTATGAACTTATGGTATCTTGAAGTCTTGCAGTTGTATGCTTGGGTTGGGATTTAATTTTATTTATTATAGGATCCCAAGCAGATGGTAGCACTCAGCCATCTTCTCTATTGAAATTAGGATATTTTTTGATTTCAATTGCCTCGCGAATCATCCTTGGAAGGAATCGGTGTTCTTTAGCGAGGATCTGCGGTCTATCAAATCTGATGTAGTGACCCCGTCACTACATCAGGTCTGTCTATAATCTGCCAAAACAAACACTGGATGATGGAACAATTAGGGTTTTATCCAAAGGCCTCAACTTTGCAATTACACCCCGCAAATTACCGTACGAAGAAATTATCTGTAGTGTCGAGGACTGTTTATTTAAAAACAATATGCGAAAAGAAGATTTGGAGGCGATACGTCAAGACATCTCGTCTATGTTACGTCGATGTTCAGTGCCTAAACCGAATCTTCCCAAAGACGAATTTATAGCGTTAAAGAACCTACGCAATAAACACGAACTTACGATTCTCCGCGCACATAAGGGAAACGCCACGGTAGTCATGGATACGTCAGATTATAATTCTAAAATACAAGAACTTTTGTCGGATGTAAGTACTTATAAAAAGGTTAAAAACGACCCAACAAATAGCACACTAAAAACAACTAGTGACCTCATAAAGAAACACTCCGAAAAATTAAATCTGGACGTAAAATGGATAATACCTACGTGTGCCAAATCACCAAAATTGTATGGGTTACCAAAAATACACAAGCCCAATGCTCCATTACGTCCCATAGTGAGCCAAATCGATTCACCAACTTACAGATTGGCTCAACACTTAGCGAAAATACTCTCACCACTCAGGGGACATACAAGAGCACACATAAAGGATTCCTACCATTTTATCAGCGAGATTAAAGACCTACATCTGGCAGACAATGAAACTATGGTCAGTTTTGATGTGCAGTCATTGTTTACATGCTTACCTGTTGAAGACTGCATCTCAATTGTAACTAGAAGGCTGGAAGAAAACAACATGCCCGCAGAATATGCAGTATTACTCAGACACTGCCTTACATCTGGCTACCTATTGTGGAAGGAGGAGTTCTACAAGCAAGTAGATGGTGTGGCGATGGGCTCACCTGTATCTCCCATTGTCGCCGACATATTCATGGAAGACTTTGAGGAGAAAGCCCTGCTTAGTTCTTCCATAAATCCAAGGTTCTACAAACGGTACGTAGACGACACTTTCACAATTCTACCTTTAGATAAAGTAACTGCATTTTTAGACCATCTTAACTCTATAAATTCTAAAATTCAGTTCACAATGGAGTTAGAGGCAAACAATTTCTTAGCTTTTCTAGATGTGTTAGTAATTCGGAATCCTGATAACACCTTGAGCCATACTGTGTATAGAAAAAAGACCCATACAGATAGATATTTAAACGGTGATTCTCACCACCATCCTTCACAGTTAGCTACCGTGGGTAAATCTTTGTTTCAGAGAGCACGAGGGATCTGTGACAGTAAACACCTGGCTGCAGAGCTCCACCATGTCAAGCAAGTTTTGCATGACAACAAGCTTCGAGTCCCGCGCCTACGTCACATTGAACGAGTGAAGCCGGCCACAGTCGAGCGTGTACCTGCTGTACTGCCATATGTTAGAGGAGTCACTGACAAGATTGGCTACATCTTGAAGCGCGCTTCCATCAAAACATACTTCAAGTCGCTGAAGAAGTTTGGTCAGTTTTTACCATCGGTCAAGTGTAATGTCCCTCTGAAAGATGCAGGAGTGTACAAGCTTGATTGTGAATGTGGTCTCTCCTACATAGGACAAACTAAAAGATCAATAAAAACCCGCGTTAAAGAACATATAGCTGATGTGAAGAATCGGCGCTCCGGGAAGTCTGCAGTCTGTGAACACGTACAGGATCGCCCCCGTCACTACATCAGATTTGATAGACCGCAGATCCTCGCTAAAGAACACCGATTCCTTCCAAGGATGATTCGCAAGGCTATTGAAATCAAAAAAACATCCTAATATCAATAGAGAAGATGGCAGGGTGCTACCATCTGCTTGGGATCCTATAATAAATAAAATTAAATCCCAACCCAAGCATACAACTGCAAGACTTCAAGATACCATAAGTTCATACTGCATAGATCGGAACAAAAGTTAAATTTTAATCTATGGTAACCGCGGTTAACTATGACATATGGACGTTGAACATCTCAGTCCTGCCCGTGACCATGAGTGCTGTAAAGCGTTCGAAACGTCGGGTAATTCAAAAGTTAAATACACGCGATAAATTCCGTAAAAACTAGTATTATTTCAATGTGTAGTGTTCTAGACGTGGTCCTTCACTGCTGGCCGTATGAGGACGCTCAAAGTCGCTCAGCGGGCTATAGAGAGGGCTATGCTCCGATTTTCTCTGCGTGATAAACTTAGAAATGAGGATATCCGCAGTATAATCAGAGTGACTGACATAGCCCAACAGATTAGTAAGCTGAAGTGGCAATGGGCCGGCCATATAGCTCGAATAACCGTTGGGGAAAAAAGGTTCTCGAGTGGCAGCCTCGTACCGGTAGGCGAAGTGTAGGGTGATCACCCACTAGATGGAGTGACGACCTGCAGGAAGTCGATGGATGCAGGTGGCTCAGGATCATGCTTACCATACCTTGGTGGAGGCCTATGTTCAGCAGTGGACTTGTGAAGGTTCTCAGGTGGTATGATAGAAATTTTATCAATTTATGACTAGTTCTTTTACTTATCCTTTATAATGCGAATTAAATTAACTTCAACTACATTGATTGTGTTCTCATTTTATTTATATTGAAGTTGTTGTAAACAATTTTTAATTTTACCTTTTCTGACAAGGAATTCGGCTCGGTAGGACTCAAATTCTTACCTGCTATATGGGTGTTCGTAAACTGTTGTGTTCCGATCTGAAGGGTATATAAAGCCAGTTTAATCACAGGCTGTATTTCATTTCATCTTACGTGTGACAACGCATATGTAGCCTTCTTTATTTGAAGTTAGTTGGAGGTGACTGCAGTAGCCACTTTCTATCAGGTGGACTGTAAATTTATCACTTTAATTTTATAAAAAAAATTACAAACACAAAAAGTTTCTAAAAATGATGAGGCGCATTCCTATTCATTGGAGCGTAAAAATCCATCAAAACCAGAAGGAAAAAAA